GGGGGGGGGGGGTGGCTTTTCCTGTCACCGCAGCTCCTCCGAAGTGCCCGTTTACCCCCACCCCGCCCGCCCGCGCGCGCTTCAATTCAGTGCTCCGTTCTGCCTGCCTGTGTGGTTGTTTGGGAGCAGCTTTGGCTGAAAATAATAACTATTTGCCTCTTTTTATCAGCCGAAGCTGCTCTGAAACGAAGGCAGGCAGGCAGGCAGAATGGAGCACTGGGTTGAACCGCGGGCGGGCGGGGTGGGGGTAAACAGGCGCTTCGGAGGAGCTGCGGCGACAGGAAAAGCCACACACACCCCCGGCTTCTTTGAAGCAGTTTCTTCCTGGGCTGGTGGAGCAGCGAGAGAGCGACTGAGACAGGAACGAGGCGGGAGGAAACCGAAGCTGCTGAGCCAGAGAGCAGGACAGGCTTCGGTTGTTTCCTCCCTCCCCTTCTTTCATTTGTGTCCTTGATCCCCGATCCCAGCAGCATTCACCGAAGGCGAAGAAAGCCGCCATTTTTTTATTTTATTTTTTCTTTGCGGCCCGGTACAGAGTGCTCCACGGACCGGTACCGGTCCGTGGCCCGGTGGTTGAGGACCCCTGTTATATGGAACAAAACTCAAAACATTTCATGAATTTAACCTCAGGGAGCTTGGAGAAGTTTTTCAAACAGTTTTAAATTTCCCACTGCAAATAATATAATTGGCAAGCCTGGGAAAAGGGGTTTCTAGTTTAACAAATACACATTAAAATAAAACTTAGGAAACATGACATTGTTTTGAACTTAAAAACTTCTTTTCAAGATTGGAATATTTATTTCCCATCCTCTCTTTACAAGTTACTAGTTTTGAGTTAGATTTTAATCACATTCTTGTATTTCAGGGCAATCCAGTAGGACAGAGTGGTCTGGGAATGGCTTATTTATATGGAAGAGGTGTTCCAGTGGTAAGTCTGCTTAGGAAAATGGCAGTAACAACTCTGTTAAAAAAAGAGGAGGGTGGTTTTGCAATATTAGAATCATATTGTTTATATAGCCCTTTGCATTACACTTAAATGTATAAAAAGAAAAGTTCCATTTGAAATGGAAATTAGAAAAAAAAATATACTTTTAGGTGGGTGGAAATGTTCAGGTAAACAATTCCAAGTATAAGAGGTAGCAAAGAAGAAATGTATCCAAGAACATTTTGGATGTTTGAGGGTGGCAAAGTTGGCAGAATAAACAACATGGGATCAAATGAAAGTGTAAGAAAATGGAAGCTATGAAATGCATAGTCAGATTCATATTTTACTCATCACTTAAAATCAATACATGTGTTCACATTAAAATATAATAAAAGAGATTTAGGACTATAGTGAAGATTTTTACTGTACTTCAGTGTAGAATCCTGACTGATCCTCCATCATCTGTGTTCCCCTTTAGAATTATGAACTGGCCCTGAAATATTTCCAGAAGGCAGCAGAGCAAGGATGGGTCGATGGACAGCTTCAATTGGGCTCCATGTACTATAGTAAGAGACCTTTCTTATATTCAGAATTTACATTTTGGAACTGGATATGTCATTTTCTTATAGGAAGATGTTAGAAGTAATTGAATAATTGAGTTTGGTTTTCTTTTTTAAGAATGAAATATTTATAACTTTCATCTCATAAAAATAGCCGATAATGTAGGTTATTAATCTTTAAAGCATGTCATTTTAAAAAGTATCACTGTTGAATCAGTTTCCTTTGCCTGTGTATTATTGATCTTTTAACATGTATCCTTAAATAATGTTAAATAACAGATCAGAGTGTATCTCTGTTTCACAATTGGAAAAATAAATATAAGTGTATAGCTATTTGAGGGGTATTATGTACGATTTTATTTCTGAACTGCCTAATAAATGAAACTCTTTGGACAGATTATGAAGTTAATGAAGATATTAAGAATAAAACTCATTCATAAATAGTATGGGAAAATTATTACAAAGCAAATGGAAGCCACAATTCATATTTTCATAGACTGAAATTGACAAGTTTTATTTGGTAACCTAAAGTCTTTCTTTACTGCTTTTGATTATATTGATCCAGGAAGTGGATCAGGAAGCTGAGCTCTTTTAAGTTGAACTGTAACTTAGGACACCAAATATAATGTGTCAAGCAGAAAGCAAGATTTCAGGTTTGCATCAAACTCATTATTAAATTATAGGAAACTGAATGGTTCATAAATTCATTTAGTATTATGTATTTTAATTTCAGACTGAACTGGTAAATCTTATTATTGTCAACTAAATGAAATAGCAACATTGATCAAATTTAGAGTGTACAGATCAAAAGACATCAGTTCAATTACTCCTGCTGATTCTTTTCTATTTGTAGATGGCATTGGTGTCAAGAAAGACTATAAGCAAGCCTATAAATATTTTAACCTGGCTTCTCAAGGGGGTCATATTCTGGCGTTCTATAATTTAGCACAGATGCATGCCACTGGCACTGGAGTCATGCGGTCCTGTCATACTGCTGTTGAGGTAAGAATCGGTTGTTTTCCTAAATGCAGGGACAATCAATAGACAGTGTTGCACTTGTTTTAATGAAATTCTGAATGCTGTGTTAAGGTGGGTCATCCTTGGGGCCACATAAGTATGTACAATGGCAATGAACTGTTTCAAATAATTTAGTATTACTATGGAAATACTTTAATTGGAATATATTCAAATGAAATGCAGGGCTTGGCTTTCTATGAAGAATACAGTTTTCTGTTTAAAGAATGAAGTCATCTATTTGAATGAAAGAATTCTTTATTGGCCAAGTGTGATTAGACACACAAGGAATTTGTCTTTGTGCATGTGCTCTCAGTGTACATAAAAAGATAAGATACATTCATCAAGAATAATAAGATATAACACTTAATGATAGTCTTAGGGTACAAATAAGCAATCAAATCATACTAGGAAACAGTCAGTATAAATTGTAAGTATACAAGCAACAAAGTTACAGTTATACAGTTACAAGTGGGAGGGGATGGGTGATAAGGAGTGATGAGAAGATTAATAGTAATAGTAGTGCAGACTTCGTAAATTGTTGGACAGTGTTGAGGGAATTATTTGTTTAAAAAGAGTGATGGCGTTTAGGAAAAAAACTGTTCTTGTGTCTTAATTGTTCTGGCGTGCAGTGCTCTGTAAAATTGTTTTGAGGGTAGGAGTTGAAACAGTGTATGTCCGGGATGTGAGGGGGTCTGTAAATATTTTCACAGCCCTCTTTTTGACTCGTACAGGATACATGTCCTAAGGGGAAGGCAGGTTGGTAGCAATTGTTTTTTCTGCAATCCTAATTAACCTCTGAAGTTTGTGTCTGTCTTGTTGGGTTGCAGAACCAAACCAGACAGTTATAGAGGTGCAGATGATAGACTCAATAATTCCTCTGTAGAACTGTATCAGCAGCTCCTTGGGCAGTTTGAGCTTTCTGAGTTGGCGCAGAAAGAACATTCTTTGTTGTGCTTTTTTGATGACGTTTTTGATGTTAGGTGTCCATTGACGTTTTTGATGTTAGGTGTCTTGAGATATGATAGAACCTAGAAATTTGAAGTCTCTGCTGTTGATTTGGATAACAAAAGGCTTAAATTTCAGCCAGCTTATTAACATGAGCTATTCCAAGTTCTTTAAAGTTTCACATAAAGTAAGATGAATTCTAAGAGGAATTCGAACAACAGAATTAGCTTACTAAAACAGCAGCATCTACTGATGAAATCTATTCGCTCTTCTTCCCTAAATGCACCAAACTCTGGACCTTTGGTGGCTTCTCAAGAATGAACCTGTGGAACTTGTTTGAAAAAGTTCAATGCTATAAAATTTAATGTAATCTAGAAACATTAAAATAAGTTTTGTTGGGAGTTTGTGCTGTTGAGTGAGTTCTTAAACAGGTTTGATAATCTTTCTATCTAATGCTTGAATTATTCTTACTCATTCTTGCATCACTGTTGAATGTTGGTGCAGAATCTATGAACAAGATAATTGTTTCTACAACTACAATATATTTCCAAATAACCACTAAAGCAATTAAAATTACCTTTTCCCCCCCTGTAGCTGTTTAAAAATGTGTGTGAACGGGGCCGTTGGTCTGAGAGACTCATGACTGCTTACAACAGCTATAAAGATGGCAATACGAATTCTGCGGTTGTTCAGTATCTCCTTTTGGCAGAACAAGGCTATGAGGTTGCACAAAGCAATGCTGCTTTCATTCTTGATCAAAGTAAGGATTAAATAGTTCCTTGAGTTATTGGTCTAGTATAATGCAGTGGTAATTTTTAGCATCCAATTCTTACTTTTGCTTAGCTGTTTTTGCCTATGCACAAATGCATGTGATATATCAGTGTAATATTCATATGAATTATGAATGAAGCATAAATCCACACAGTCATAACCCCATGAAAAAAAAAATGAAAAATTCAATAGAATCCTGAAATTAGTACTCTAGAACTATAAACTATAAATATTTCTTTTTTCCCCTTTGATTGCTCAATTACAATCTTAGCCTCAAGTGAAAAATTCTATTTAAATGCCATTTCAAAATGAAAACATTCATTTTATTTCCTTTTTCAATTATGTGTATATGCATATATATAGATGATGTCAATACATCAATTACTAATTATAAATCAAGTTTTATTTTAATAAAATTGAATAACATAAATTTGTAGACTTTTAACTATATAAAAATAACCAAGAGTTAATAATTAATACTTCTTCCCAGTACTGAATAATGAATGGTTGAAAATACATAAACAGATGGTGTTTAACATTGTTAACAGACAGCAAACTCTACTGAACTGATTCAGCCAATGTAAATTTTCTGCTTATCCCCTTAATAATAGATTTCATCCAAAACACATTAAGGTATCAATTAACATGCATATATTTTTGAATTCATCTCCTCTGTTTTTTGCTTATCAGTATCTACCATCCTACGTGCAACAAAAACTAATAGTTATGTTTGCAGAGTCTATTAGCAATGCTGAAATTTAGTGCTGTAAACCTTTAGGTCAAATTTAAGTAGCCTAGATAACTTTATATTTGCAAAAAAATAAAAAAACCTGTTTAGCCAGTTATCTAATATTGCATCAGCTTCTAAATTCATTCTATCCCATTCAATTTATGAAAGTTAATCTCATAACCGACTTCAGTGGCGATATGGTTTTTGCATGACTTATATGAGCAAGGCAGTGCTAATATAAATTAAATTCACAGACAACAAGGGCCCAAACAGTTTGTATAAGAACAAGCATTTCTGCATTTCTTCACTAGAGTAGAAATGAAGGGTATTCCTTCTTAAATCCAATGTGTATTTCAGATGTGCCCAAAATATTATTTTCTGGATTGCAATTGGTTTTTGTATACATTTGACAAAATGCCTAAAATTCAGGATCCACAACCTTTTGCCAAGCTGAAAGTTATATTTCACCATTAAATGGCAGTTGAGACCTAAGGGTAAAGTCAGAAACCAAATTAGATTTCACTTACTTTTTTTACTACTTAATTAGAATTACATAACCTTACCAAGATAACTCTCCAGTCACATATTCAATAATTTCCCTTTCCACATTTCTTTTTAAATATACAAAAACTTCTGGAAGTTTTTGTTTGCTCCATCCAAGAATTCAGTTTATGAACTTCGGGCCTATTATTTTTATTTTGTGTTTTTGGCCTTTTCTCATAATAAAATAGGATGATGATAAATCCTCTGTCCAGGCATCTGAGACAACTAGTGAGCTCTGATTTTACTGGGTTTTAATCAAGTGATGACCACAATCCCTCAACTAATTAACATGCTTGCAAACAAGGGTATTGATTCCATGTTTAGGTAATTCAGGTTCAAGTTCTGTTCATCTCCTATTCTTGTGTTGCTCATTGGAAGAACAGCAAAATGGGTTACATGATTAATACTAAATGACAGGAAAAGAAATAACTTGGACCTTTACTGACTCACTTTTTTCTCCTCACACTACAGAAGAAGCCAGCATAATAGAAGAGAATGAAACCTATCCCAGAGCCTTATTACACTGGAACAGAGCAGCCTCACAAGGTCAGTCATTTCAGAATTTAGTCCAGTTTCCTAGCAATAGCAAGAACTGAACAGTTATGGATGATTTTTTATTATACTAAGGAGTGTTGTAGTATTTGTTTAACAGCTGAAAGTAGATCTTGATTGAAATGTGTCACATCTTTTAATAGAAAACTGAATCTAAATATATTTGATAGATTTGGGGTATCAGAGGCTGCTTCTGCATCCATATGCTCGTTGTACTAGTTGCCATAGTCAATTTGAAGTGAAAACATCATTTTTGAAGTAATTCAACCTAGAAATCACATTCTAAATAATAGGAATTGGAGGCAGATACAAATTCTGTCTTCAGGGCAAGTCTGTTCTCTCCGCATTAATCAGAACATCTTGAAAGGAATGGAAAATAAGCAGTATTACTCACAAGTCCTTTCATAGAGTTTATTTTCTTGATAGGTTACACTGCTGCTAGACTAAAACTTGGTGATTATCATTTCTACGGCTTTGGCACCGAAGTTGATTATGAGACTGCATTTATTCATTACCGCCTGGCAACAGAGCAACAGCACAGTGCCCAAGCCATGTTCAACCTAGGATACATGCATGAAAAAGGACTTGGGATTAAGCAGGTAAGCAAGTGCATAGTTATTCCCATATTTTGGAATAACACAAACAGGTTTCAAAAGACTTTCAGAATCCTCTGCTTTTAAACAAGAGTATAATAAACATATGGTTTTCAACCAAGCTTCAGAAGATTCTGCAAGTAATCATTTCAGACATTTGAACAAAATAATCAAATTATTATATTATTCTTCAAGTAGAGATTATTTTGATGGATAAAATTGCAAAATGGTAATGGCAGCCAAAATCACAAGGTATAACAATTTCAAACCATAATTTCCAAAGTTCTTGTTAACTTTTTATTGTACTGTCATAAGCATTATAAAAAAACAATATTAAATTTTATCCCATTAACTCACGTAAGTAATTCTTGTGAGATATACACCAAAGGAAGAAAAGAGATTCCCTGTATTCATATTCATATGATTTGGTTAGCTCTGTTTTTGCAAATTTCATGTATTGTATATGTTGTAGGACATTCACCTTGCAAAACGCTTCTATGATATGGCAGCTGATGCTAGTCCTGATGCTCAGGTTCCTGTCTTCCTTGCACTTTGCAAGTTAGGAATTATTTATGCCTTCCAGTATGTGCAGGAAACCAATGTAAGTAATGATAAAGAAAATGGTGTTATTTAAGGTAATCTGTGTAGTAGTGATAGCTTTTCTTTCACACACACATACACACACACACACACACACACACACCTAAAATATAAATGGTTTTTAACAGAACAGTTTCTAGGATTGGCCTGAGAAAATATTTTGAATTTTATTTCCATTTCTATGGTAATGGTGTGAAATCTGTATTTCTTGGTCAGATGTAATGCTTTTGATTTCAATTCAGTTTAGCCAGAACTTCAAGGACCAATTGTAAGTACCGCTTGTTCAGCACTGTTGTGCCTTGGAATAGTCATTCAACAAATGGTCCTTAACCAAGGACTACTTGTACTGCACAAAACTGGCTGTTCTAATTAATCCTTGTGAGAAACTTTTCTGATACCCAAACATGCTATTCCAAGTATTGCAAAAATTGTCTAGCCTCAGAATATATTGAGAAGGAAGTTCTCAGCTGAGACTTTTCCTACCATCAAAGCACAGAGTATGAAAATTGCATCTAGTCCAGTATATCCTTCCAGAAGACATTCAGGATGTCTGTGAGCATGAAAATAGAATGCTATTAAGCTTTAGCAAAATAGCATATTTTAGCCTGTCCACAGAAGGAAACAAGTGTGTCATTTCTTTTAGGCACAAGCGGCTTGGGTGAAATGGGGAAAAAGCCAAGGATACTGACAGCCAAAGAGAGGGAGGGAAATTAAAGGAAAATGCAATATGCCATTGTAGGAGCCCATTTTTATCAACAGAAGTATCAGCATGAAGAATAGGCAGACAGGCACATAAATCAGTGGAAGAGAGGAAGGGGATGACCAGCAAATGAGATCAGCTGTAGTGGAAGCTTCCTTAGTGTTAAGGGAAGTGCATATGTGCAGACATATGCGCAGACGTATGTGCAGGCTGTCCATGAGCCATGGTGGCAGTTGAAGGAAAACTTGGAGATATACTGAGAACACTAGGCCTACACTGCTCGGGCAGCTGCTCTGTAGAGAAAAGAGAAGGCCATGTGCACATGTCTCACCTCTTTCAGATGTTTTATCCCAAATCTGGAACAATCAAAACATTCTGGGCATCAGTTGCACCTAACTGTGACTGATCTGAACTCATTTATTAGGTTTGTTCTTAATTTGAAACTAAATATTTTCCTGCATCAAACGTACCAGGATTGAATTATTTCTGCTGCACTGTTTTTTTTAAAAAAATATTCTTTAAAAACAGAAAAATACAAAAATCTCATTTCTATTAACAGTTATTGTGTCATTGTATATACATGTTTCTTATTTTGTGACTATACATTATTTTTATCCTTATCCTTCACCCATTCGTACCACCTCTCCCATGTCGCATAGTATTCTTGATCCTCTTTGCCTTTGAGTTCCATAGTGAATTTATCTAGTTCAGCACAGTCCATTATTTTTTGAATCAAAACTTCATCTGGTGATATTTTATCACTCTTCCAATTTTGTGTTAACGTGATTTTTGCTGCAGTTAAGATGTGTACAATAAGGTATCTTTTATCTTTACTCAAATTTCCTTTGATCATACTTAATAAAAATATTTCGGGTTCCAAATTCAATTTATATTTTGTAATCTCAAAAAGCCATCTCTGTATTTTCTTCCAGTATTTTTTGACCTCTATACATTGCCACCACATATGGAAAAATGTTCCTTTCTTTTGTTTGCACTTCCAGCATTCTGGTTTCAAGGTTGGATACATTTTCACCAGTTGTGCCGGTGCTAAGTGCCATCTACAAAACATTTTATATTGATTTTCTTTGAATTCCGTCAACAAAGTCAGCTTCCAGTTCTCGGTCCAAGTTTTTTCCCAACTCATCCAAATTTATATTATGACCCACATTTCTCACCCAGGCAATCATTGGTCCCTTAACAATTTCCTCCTCTAGTTTTACCTCCAGTAAATAATTATATGTTCGTGTTATAATTTTTATATCCTTGACTGTCAAGATTTGGTCCAATTTTTGTAAATCTTTATCCCTAGCTCCTTTACAACTTTCTTAAATTTAGTTTGAATTTGCAAATATACCCACCAGTCTAATATTATCTCTTGTTCTTTTAGTTTATCCAGTGTTTTTAATTCCCCTGTTCATCTACCAATTCTTTATATCTAATCATTTTTTAATGTCCCTTGTATTTGGATATAATATAGCTTCCATAGGTGAGATCCAGTTTGGTCTTTTCAAATAATGCTTTTTTATTTTATTTTCTCACATGTTTGTAAAAGTGAGTCCCTTATCAAATGTCTATGTCTGCACTGTTATTATCCATCAAACATAGCACTCTTGTCATTTAGAAAGATGCTGAAACCATGAGGAATTTCATACACATTGTGGTTACACTATAATAATTAATTGTGTCTCCCCACTGCCCCCCTTTCATATTTCTATTTAGGTCAAGGAGATATTCTCACACCTGGACATGGACCAACTCTTCGGCCCTGAGTGGGACCTTTACCTCATGACCATCATTGCTTTACTTTTGGGCACAGTAATAGCTTACAGGCAGAGGCAACATCAAGGAGTCCCAAGGCCTGCGGGGCCACGACCAGCGGTACCTCCTCAAGAACCTGCTCCAGAACCCCAGCCACCCCAATAGTAGCAGCTGGAGATTCAACAAAGTGAACTGGAATTTCTAGCTAGGACTCTTTTTGTGATCATATGACAAAGGTCCCACTCAGATCAAATAGATACATGCACACAAGATTCAGAAAAGTATTGAATTGAGAAAGCAGTTTAGAATTATGCCTTTTTTCAGGGATATGCATCTTTTTTTAAATGGAGTGGAATGTTATTTCAGTGCCAATGGAATAACAGATTTTGTGAAAAAGAAGTGTGCTACTTCAAAAGTGATGCCTACTATATTTAGTTCATTCAGTGCCCTTTTCAACTGTCTTTTGATTGTTCAAAAATATTATGAGGTTTAATATGAGAACATTAGACCTTGTGCTCTTTATAGTAAATGGTTGTTGTCTTTTCCAGATGTTTGTGATTGTGATTATTTTATGGTTCTCCCAATTATTTTGAAACCAACATAAACCTCTGTAATGGCATCAGCCATGAGGGTCTGGATGCTTTAACTTAGAATGACCACTTATAAATAAATATATATTCATGGGCTACTCTTTCTAGAGGTCAGGTTTAAAATACGAACTACATTTGTGCAATGACTATTTAAATAAGATGAAACCTTTTTGTTTAGCATTCAGACTTGCTTGAATTATGCACACTCAATCTTTCTGGTATATCTTTTCCCAAGTATACAAGGCGGCTTGTTTAGTCTTCCTTTTTTTTATTGTTTCACAAGTATGCCAAGGTTATCCAAGCAATGGGCTGAAAAAACAACCAGTGTTAATCAACCTCTTTATTTCAGTGGTTTTTTTTCTGAAGTATTTTCTCATTGGATATCATTGGTTTGCTTTTCAGTCCATCATAATATATTCTTATGATTCAGACTTATTTGGGTAGAAGATTGTGCAAGTAAGTGTTATTAATGTAACTGCTATCTACATATCTCTTTAAAATATGCACTCTGTTATACTGCACATGGCTCTTTGAGAACTAGTCAGTGAGTATGCATATGGTAGGCTATCCTAACAGTGTTGTTTTATAACAACCTTACAGCTATGCCAGATTTGGGTAGAATGCATGTGATTTTTAAACTTTTGCAAAATAGGGATAGAACGCATGGCTAGGATTGAAACATGGACATTTTCAAAACAGTGATGAGTTATATGAGTTGCAGTAGAAAATCTAATCCCAAAATTTCCCTTGCAATGTCATGAAAATAACATTATTTTTGCTGTAATATTAATTTATGAAGATTTTAAGTACTATACTAGGAAAACAACAGATTTTAGCTGAAGGCCTAATTTTAAAAAAATACTTTTTGCTACTAGTGCATCATTATATAATCTGGAGTACCCTAGAAAAATATAATTAAATGCTGTTCTCTGGAAACTAAACCTCATTAAGTGCATTTAAGAAGTATGCAACTTCTGTATATATCAGTAGGCTCCCTTGTGTAAGTTTAGAGTACATGACAGGAACAACAAAAGTCCCCTTATAATGAAAGTGGGGAGACAGAAATTGAGTTTATATAAATCTAAAATACAAGGATATTTTTAACAGGCTTGATTATATCTACAGGAAGCTGTTTTAACAGCAAGGCATGTGTCTTAGCAGCAGTATTACTAAAGGTAGTTGTGTAGACAGAACTTTCTATTGTACACATTGGATAAGATGAAACATTTCTTGCAATGAATATAAGATGTCAAAAAAAAGGAAACAAAAATCTGTTCAGATATTTGGGCTGTAGTTTTTTTTAAATAATTTGTGGAAAACTTAGCTATTTCAGAAGAAAAAAAACCTTGTCTCAAGAAACCTTGCCTCTTCTCTAATAAAAGGTGCAAATGGAAAAAATGTCCCAAGTCTTTAGTTTGAATAATGGTCTGCCCTTGTGTATATTGTGTATAAACTCTTTGGTGATGAACTCCAGAAACATTTATTAACATAAATAAAATCCAAATCATACTGAAATTGTTTTTTTCTGAAATATAAGTAATTTTTCAAAATGATGAAAAATTTCCAATGACTTTTCCTTCTGACATTACTTTTAATTACTATGATGAGCTATTATTTCTGCTGCTTAATTACAGGAATGTAACAATGGATTCTATATGCTTAAATTTCACTTAATGTAATATCCTGCTTCTAGCACTTGAAAGAAAATACAAAATTGCCACATTTTACACCCTTTTGACTTTTTGCTTTCAAAAGTCAGGTTAAGCAATATTCATGCTTCCTGTTTTTAGTGTTGCCTCATCAATATAAAAATATTGATTTAAGTTGTATGTGCTTTTTGAAAAGCATCAGGCTAACTCAGGGATTTAAGAATTTGTAGATTTTCAGGTTGTTTGCCTAGACAATTGTATCTTTGATTATTCTGATCTATTCTAATTGAACTTTTACCATTTATTTTTAATTAAAATGAACACTACCAGAATAGAAGTACTTTAGTTCATTTTAATATGCAGTAGTTTAGAAAGCAACCCACTTACTTTCTGAAAGAGGGTGAATTAAACTTAATCTAAATAGGCTAGTTGACAGGAATCAACTTTCTGAATACAAATTGTTATAATTGAAAGGCATTCTTCTAAACTTACTGGAATTTAAAGGCTGTTACTACAAAAACAAAATGGCTATAGCAGGCCAAATAGGATTAGAACATAGAATTGGTTTATAGTAGGCATTAAAGTTCTGTTTAAACTTCGTAATTTTTCTTACCCAACCTTTCTTTTAAAAAAATATTCTTTATTTTACCAAATGAAAATATCAGAAGAATGTTTTGGGGAATATAATTATATACTGTTTGAACATTACAGTTCAGATTGTTAGCTGCATTAACATGCTATGCATATGTATGGCAAAATTTATTCTGTGTAGGCCAAACTGTTTTGAGGATTTAGTCAAAAGTATTTGAAATTATGGCAAACATTTTACCACATTGGTGAGGTTGTTAGGATCTGCATTCCTCCTCTGTAATATAAATGCATCTTAATCTAGAATTTGTAATGTGGCTGTGCATGAGGATGAATATTGATCTATGAGAATGTATTCCAGTGTATTAATTCTGTTCCTTAATAGTGGTAAGAAACCTGAGAGCAAGTTTTTCTGCATTTTAAGAAATCAAATGTACCACACTCCGACTAAAGGTGTAGCCATCACTGTTAGATCCAATAGCTGAATCTGTAAGGTTTCAAGCAGGTGCAAGCACTTGCATATGCAACACTATTATACTAAGACCATGTACCTCTATGCCACAGATCCCTGGTGTAAATGATTCAATTGATACGAGTGGAAAGCTTGGTGCATTTGTCTGAACACAAGGCTTTAGTGCAAATTAATATTGATAGAAACATGCTGCAAGTCCTGGCTATCTGAAGCTGGACTTGAGCCAAAATGCTCCGCTTGCTATTTGTAATGATCCCCGTGTCAGGTTCTTCTAGTCTTTTAATATTTTAAACAGCACAATAAACAATTTTATTTCAAAGAATGTGTATGATTTGAATGAATGCATTTGCAGAGAGGAAATAAATCTGTGTGACTTGGATTGACATGCATTGGCAAAAGGATAAATTGTTAAGTGTGTATAAGGGGTTTTGTAAATTTTCTTTTGTATTTAAGATGATGCAGTATAAAGGTTGGAAAAGTGTAATATAGCTGTAAACAAAATCTGTTAATAGAGAAATGTACAGATTCATTTTGTATTATATCTTGTTAAATAAAGATGCCACTTTGGTGATTGGCCTGTAATGAATGCTGTAAGAGAACTTGTGTTGCCTTTTATTAAAGATATTTTTGATAAAACAGTACATTCCCATCTTTCAAATTCAATAATGATTTGTAATCCATTGTTTATTTTCTCATTGAGTTTTAAAATATACATGCCATCATGTATGCCTGCCAATGATGGTTCATAACATAATTGCTATGAATTATGTATTTATGTACTTCATACCCAATGAATGCGTTGGAACAATAAGTGAGCATTGTTTTTATATGTGTATCATTTGTAGTGATATTTTGTATTGCCTGCAATATACATAATATACATTAATAAGCCTAGACAAAAGAAAGCAGTTTATGTCCATAAGAACAGCTTCCAGCATAAGAATGGGCAAAGAACAGCCCACTGCCTTCTGGCAGCATATGTTTGTGGGCATTCACAACCCTTGGGGGTGTATGCTCTGTTTAGCAGTCACCATGGGAACGAAATTCTTTGTACAATACTAATCTTCCCATTCCCTCTAAAGAACAAACATTTATCTACAGCCTTCCTGATAACTTTAAATATCACTTTACTACAAAGTTTTGTTATACTTCAAAGAGTTTACATTTAAAAAAAACACCAGTATTTGAGAAATAATGCAGATTTGTAACACCAGATTGAAATAGGCGAGCCATAATGTAATAAGGCCAGACCTCAATGCTTTCAGGCAAGCTGTTTTCTGTTAGATAGTTGTAAGAGCAACCACTCTAATGCATACTATAATGGAAGACTCAATGTGCTTAGGGAAATTGCCATGACAGTGCTGCTGTGATATTAAACAAGTCCCTAACCTGATTTTTGGTGACAAATTTAAGTCAGATGCCTGTCACAATGAACAGCACTGCCAGTCAATCACTGCATGAGGTAAAAATAGAAATTAAATCATTGTATGTCAATAGTTCTAAAGGTTCACTAAAACATAACCATCCCAATCTACTTCCAACTTATTTTGAAACATCTTTAAAAATATTTCAATAGTATTAACATAATCCAGCACTTGTGTTACAAAATAGACAATATTAACTATTAAACTGAATATACCCTTAATTAAGGTGTCATTAAAATAAGTGACAAAGCTGTTTATTTTGCATTACTCAGTTTTTTTAGCATCTCCACTTTTTCTTTACATACAGAATAAACTAGATGTGAGTTATTGGGCTCATTTTTCTGTTTCCTGGTCTGACTTAGTTTATATTCATGACATTTAGTAATTTTTGGAATCACATTTTTAAAAGTGATTTGAGATATTTTAAAAGGAAATTGCAATATAATGTGGATATTTTGCATTTATTTTAAAAGAAATAAGAGCTAGCTTAAATTTCCAATAAAATAATTAGAATATTTCTTGCCTAGATTGTGCTGTGCGTGGTGTGTGTGTGTATTTTAAATGAATCAAGTTTATAATTTTTGCCTGTGAAAAAATAAAAAATGGAAAATGATAAAATGAGTTAATGTTGAACAGAATGAAATATGGTCTAATTCTATAACTCCTTTCTTTTACTTTTTGTTTTATTGATCTGCAAAAAAACGCTCCCAAAGTCACAGGCATGAGCTTGTACATTTGAGGAGAAATTGTTCAAATCTGGACTCCTCTCCAGCATGAACTACTCAGATTATTGACTCACATTTGAGCTGTTTTTAGTCAGACAGAATCATTATGTAAACGTGGAACAGGTACACTTCAATGTCAAGGCTGAGAAAAGAACTGTCAAAGAGTCTTGGCTCAAAAGAGCAGGAGGAAAAGAAATATATGCTGTAGCTTGATTTTTGTATTCCTCAGTAACCTTGAAGTATTGGGTTGCACAGTTGAGTTTATCAAATAACAGAGACCAATAGGTGTGCCTGCCCTATTCTGACTAAATGATACTGAAAATTTATATTAACTACTTAAAAAGTATTGTACCAAAAATATATATATTTTCAACCCATGCTTTTTATGTTTTTATCTATTTACTCAATATATATGGCTGCCCATCTCAATAAATATATCAAAGTTGTTGGGTTTTTTTTTGCAGGACATAGACTAATCCTGTTGGTTTTATCATTGTCTTGACCCTTCATATTAAAGGAACAGTACTACATTGATTTAGATTTTCATCAAATTCAGGTAATTGTTAATTGTCCATCTTAAAAGCACTGAATATATTCCTGTAGATGGTAGGTTTCTTTAATTAAAAATTGGGCAGCACTGTTGTAGATTTTTTTTTCTTTATTCCACATTTCTTATTTTTATAAACAAGTCAAGGCGATGAACATACTTAATATTCCCTTCTTCAATTTTCCCCACAACTCTGTGAAGTGAATTGGGCTGAGAGAGAGTGAGTGACCCAGTCACTCAACCGGCTTTCATGCCTAAAGCAGGACTAGAACTCCGACTACTGGTTTCTAGCCTTAACCACTAGACCAAACTGGTTCAAATTTTATTTCTCCTTGTCATATATAATTTGTTGGTTTATGTATATAATTTATATGGCAACCAATCTCCTTGCAGTGACTGTGTATGTGTATGTGTGTGTTACTTTATTAAATTTCCACAAAAGGTAAAATAAAAAAGGAAAAATCCAAAAAATGAGGAAAAAAGTAAAAAAAAAAAAAGTAATTTCAACTTTTTTCAATAGTTACAGATATAACATAAGAAGCTTTTGCTCTAAAATTCAATAGCATACAGTATTTTTATAATTCTAAACACATGACTATTTCAATATTACAATGTAAGTTTAAGAACCAGTCGTAAGTCACTATTTTCAGTAATGTAATCACTAAATAATTGATTGTAAGTCAAGGGCTACCTGTAGTCAAAAGTAATAAAGATATGCAGAAATCATTTACAATTTTTTCTATGTACTATACTTACCCTGGATTGCTGCAGTTAAAACATATTCATTCTCTTTCTAGTCCAGTAAAACTAGAGTTCCACCCCTCCTTCCCAATTTACACACAGGTGATTCAGGCCAACTTACAAAATATTAAAGCAAGATTTCTTATAAGCAACAAATACACTGGAGCTGATGTTGTCTGATATAATTTACATAAAATTCCTAATCACATTGGCTTCTTTATTATTATTGGAACGTAAGATTAATAAAAGTGCATTTCAGTGTCTGGATTTGCACATATAAGCTATCAATTATTTTTTACTTGCTACAGTGGTTAGTTTAATGCAATATACTGTGTCAAAATCAAACAAATTACATTGTGACTTGGGGCAATGTGTGAGAAAATAAACGTTAACGCTGTTATTATAGAATGTCATAAAATCAATGCCTAAGGGAATTGCTCTGGACCTAAGTGAGTGAAATCCAGGAAGACTATTGTAATGAAAAGTAAGGTCTTTTTATCAATTGCTCCTTGAAATAAGTAAATTTCCATTTCGACTGGCCTCCGGAAAATGCAGAAACAACATTTTAAATTTATCTTTCAGAGCTATATTGATCGTTCAATTCCGCCTGTTGTCCATTTTGGAGGAGACACGAACAACTGCTTAGATTGGCGTGCTCTATGGGATGCAGCGTGCGGAAAAGATAGCTAACGCACGTTTGTAGAATGGTGGTACTAAATTATTACACATCTGTGTATCCGTGCAAAGGATTAAAACCAGCGCATCCACGTTCCACTACTCTGGCAGCCCAAGGGAGGGAACAAACCGCCTCCAATACGCAACTTTCCACGCCCACAATCCTCTTCAGCCAATCCCAGCTTGCTTTCGCTCTCCTCCGGCCGGCTCGGCAGATGGCCCAATAGAGAAGCTCTGGCTCTTTTCTATTTTTTTTTTAAACGGGGGGGGGAGGGGGGAGGGAAGGAGCTGCTCTCCCACTTCCAAAGGGGCTGCTGGCTGTTGCTTACCTTTCCTGCCGCTGTAGGGAGATTTGGTATTACTTCAGTGCTACTTTCCCCGGCGCGGTCCAGTTTCTCCTCTTCCGTGCCTGGAGCGAGCGAGGGAGTCAAACTGCAGGGAGTTCCGCAGGTAATCTGTCTTTTCCCTCTACGAACCCAACGAGCAGGTGGTGGATCCCCGGCCAGTCGTAGCCAGGAGTCCGCTACGGTTCCCTCTTCGTATCTGCTCAGCGTCCCTTCCTCAGTTGTGGTGTAAGGGAGCTTCACCTTTGAGGAGAACCACGTCCACGGCCATGTTCCCTCTTCTGAATCCCTGAAATGGATCAAAGGGAACCCGAGCGTGCTTGGAAGAATGCATCGCTCGGCGGCGGGCTGGAACAAAGACCAGATAATAGCCGCTTCATTACCCCTTCCCTTTCGGTAGCTTGGCTCGCCTTCGCTTAAGACTGCGGGCAGCTCGAAAGGAAGGGTGATCGGAGTTAAGATGTGTGGTGTAGTGCAGTGTGGTCTCTCTCTCTCTCAAACCTCCGTTAAAATATAATTTCGGCGGCTGGCATGGGGAAGTCAGAGTGGCCGCTTTACCACCACCCCCAGCCCAGTGCGAGATTATAGCACTTTTGTGTATAGCTTGGGTGAGGAGTGAGTTGTGGTCAACTGGTGTCTTGAGGCACTGGTCATAGCCTGGTGATGTTCCACCCGAATGTTCCTCTTGTACAATGCAATCGACTCCCAGACCCCTGATGGGAGTTACTATTAAGGAAATGAGCATAGCCTTAACTGCATCCTGTTGTTTTGCATCCTGACACGTTCAAGCATTCCTTCTTAAGATCTTTACCTGGGCAGTTCAAAAAAAAAAAAAAGGACCTGCTTAAAGAAGAAATAAATATATTTCCATCATACGTCCCAGCCACCTGTCAAAGTGCTGCCAGAGAACTGCTCTACCAATCAAAACCCACCCTGCAGCTCTTAATGGACATTTTCAAGGAAGTGTAAGACAGGGATGGGAGAGTTACAACTGAGGGGGATGTTACTTGGATTCCCTCCCTGTAAGAGGTTATGACTGAGGATGATTTCACAAATTAAAGCCTCTTCTGAAAGAATGCACTCATAATAACCCCGGGGAGAGGGTGGAGATGAAGCTTTCAACATTTGCAAATTCACAATATGTCTTGCTTGCCATTCTCCTGCTTTGAATGCATCAATT